CATGGGATGAATTTGATAAAGTACCTTATGAACACCATGAGGACAATGGCTCTATACAACGCTTCGTGACAAATGTTGTAACGCCACTTGGTTTGACCGAATAAAAAAGACTTTCACATAGAAGGGCAGCCGCCAACAGGGGTATTGCTGCTAAGGTGGCTTGACTCAAAACAAATCAGCAGCAAATCATTATTCTACCTCAGTTTGGGCGGACGGAAGACTGATCGGCAGTAAATCTTATCTTCAGCAAAATAACTTAAATCATCAGCGGTACCGGGCTGACGGAATGCTAATTCCACCTCAGCAGCAATACCTGGTCGTTGTGCGCTATTATGTGGAAACACTCCTTAACATTTTATTTAATCTGGTTTACCGTCAACCCTGATTTGACTGCACAGGATATTTTGCGATATTCTAAGCCAATAGTTATTGATAGTAGTTTTCTTAGATGGGATTCTCCAGATCCAACAGGTCATATATCGTTCGAAAGTGAATCGAAGTAATGCCACGTTAAAATTTTTAAAAGATCATTTAGTTCAGATTTGGGAGTATGAAGCACATGATTCTAGTTTGATAGCGGAAGGATCATGGTCGTTTAATCCAGGTGGGTGGTTAATACTATCGTCCTCCAATGGTACGGTTCAAAAATATGCGTTTGTAAAGTTTACCCATTTTTGGTTTTTAGTAAGAGACATTGAGGTAAAGGCATTTGAACGAGATTTTCAGCTAAGATTAGGGGGACATAAACTCATAAAAGAGAATGGTCGTGTAGTAGATAACGGTCTAATTAGGAAATGCCGGGAATTAGCAAATTCTTATTACATATATGAAGAATAAACAGCGCACAACATTAGGTTTGCTGCTATGCTGGCTGAGGAATTAAACGTGGACTTTTGAATTGTTATTAGCAGTATATCCAGGCAGAAGTAATCCTATTAAGCTTTTGTAGTTAATTTCAACTTTATTAATAATATTGGGCTGCAGGGCCGGCATACTGGGCACAGAATACCAGCACAGCAGCAAGCCCCACCCGTTAGGCGCAATTAATATCTTCAATATGGCTCGACTTATTTCTTTCATCTCGCTAGTGTTATTCTTTACAGTCAAAAGTTTTGGTCAAATTCGAGACACAAGTTGGACTAACGAGGTAACTTTGCAAGAACCCAGCTACATTAAGCCAAAGAAGCGAATTCAAGTGTTCGAGTCAGATTCGTTTATTGTCTATTCTAGCTTTAATTTAATGGTATCAAATATTAAAGGGTTTATAGACGAGTATGAAGTGCAAGAAGATAAAGTTCTTCTTGATAAGTTCTTTAACACGGCAAAATCGTTAGAGAGAAACCTTAATGACATCCAAAATGACAAAACCTTGAGGGAACGTCTTGATTTCCGAACCGCCGATCTAATTCAAAAACGAAATTGTTTGATTTATAACAAAACTACCAAAAGCTTTGAATCAAAGATTTTCGTAACAAACTATTTAGATGGTTGGCGAACAGGAATTCGATTTACTACAGAGTCTAATCAGAAAATAATGGATTTAACAACCGGTGCGATTTAAAGGACTGCGCCTAACAAGGGGTTTGGCGTCATGGCGGCGTTACGAATATATCCTGATCGATATAACGCTGCTCAGCGACATATCAATCTGACGAATAAAGCCCAGCTATAGAATATATTTTCATCTTCTTATCTTTGATCAGCTTCAGTTCCGGCTTACGCAACACGGAATATCGCCACGTCGCCAAGCCCGGACGTTAGGCGCAATTACTCAAAGTTGATAATCAATGTATTACAAAGTATAAATTACGTACTTTATTATGTACAAAAAATCGTACATTTGGTTATTAAAATTATCGTATGCAAGCAGTATCAATTTCGCAATTGCGAAATAATATGAAGAAATATCTTGATGATGTTTCTAAATCATCAGACACGATCATAGTTTCCAGAACATCTGATGAAGAAGCCGTTGTTATACTATCGATGAAAGAGTACAATTCGTTAACTGAAACGGGGCATTTGTTGTCGACGGCTGCAAATAGAGAACGATTACGTGAATCTATTGATCAATTGGGGAAAGGTAAAACAAAGAAATTTGATTTAAAACTATGAATTTCGAGTTTACGGAGAATGGATGGGATGATTTTCAATATTGGATCGAGACGGATATAGAAATTGTCGCAAAGATCAAGGAGCTTTTAAAAGAAATCAAAAAGACACCATTCCAGGGGCTTGGTAAACCGGAGCCACTTAAATATGATTTAAAAGGCTTTTGGTCGAGAAGAATCACCGGCGAACACCGCCTTGTTTATAAAGTGGAGGGTAAGAAAGGAGTGAATCAGAAATGTTACGTTATTCAATGTCGTTTTCATTATGGAGACTAAATGCGCCTAACATTGGGTTTGCTGCTATGCTGGCCGGGGAATAAAACATCAACATCTAGAATAGAATCAGCATCGGTTCTAGGCAAACGGAATTCTGATTTGCTTTAGTAATTATTTTCAACATTAGTATCAATATTGGGCTTTATGCCGAGGCCAGGGCCATGAATACCGGCACAGCAGCAAGCCCCACCCGTTATGCGCAATCCAAT